TTGTTCCCATGAAGTTGTCATGGAAGAAGACCTCGACAATAGCTCTGGACTAGAGATTCGCACGAGGCCTCATGAGTCAAATACATTGTCCTGTCCCTGTTACCTTTTTACTTTCTAATTTGCTATTTAATTATCATAAAGAATTACTTCTAACGATTTGTTATTTGTTGGGTAGGTAGTTTGCTATTCATAATCACACTTGGAGGATTAGTGCATTAAGGAGTGCATCTAGAAGTTTATAATGATTAATCACAGATGTCAGACAAGGAAATTTGATGAAGATTGAAAATGATAGTTGATGTGCAGAAGTTAGTCACTGGACCAGCCTAGAGCAAGTTCAATTAAGGACCATATAGTTAACCGTACATGTAGTTCGATTAACACTAATCGAACGCACACTAGCATAGTGCAGAGTTGACCAACTATAAACAAAAATGGGGGAAAAACGAAAACTGTGCGTGCTATATTTCATTTTCATTGCATAGTTTTTCTAAGTTACAGCTAGGCATGCAACTTTTCCTCGGATCCGCTGATTTCCTCGTTTTTTACTTCTCATTAATGCCATTACAAATTGAAAAACACTTGTGTGGTTTGGAGTTTCCTCGTTTTTTTCTAAATTCCCAGTTGCATGCCTGAAGTTAGTTTTGTCACCATTGTACAGTAATAAGGGCGATTATGTAAGGTGTCCTAAACTGCTCAATCATTATTACTTGTGTAAATAAGCAGAAATGTCAAGCGTTGAAAAAAGTCTTTAGCCGATGTGCGATCGCCGTTTAGGGTCATTGACACGAGAATAGCTGAACTAGAGTTGTTCGCACTTCAGCTTCATTGTGCATACATGCTGGGTACCCATGAACTAACCACAAGTTTTAACCATTAGTCCTTGCCTCAAAATGTCAGGAAATCCATATTTTACCGTTCTAAGCCTGTTTTTGATGAGCACATACATCTGCTAGGTGATGTGTTCAGGTTGTCAACTCCATGAAATTTAACCCTGTACTGTACGATCAATGTAAAATATTCATATTTTTTATCGACCTATAAAACTGAAGGTTGAAAGCACTGGTCATCTGTTGCAGCTAGGCATTAATGTTCTGGCCACTTGTGGCTGCTGAGGTCAGGAAGGCCAGCATTTTTTTATTTATTGGATTACGAACATAACATGAAATTTGGCAGGGTCGGAGGACGGACTAAAAATAAAAATAAATTTTGTTCAACACTTCTGCATGCATGCGATTGGGTGGGATTGGGACGTCAGTGAACAAAATAGGAAACAAAAAGTGAGTTTTTGTTTTGTTTTAATTTATTCAAAATACTGTGTTGGGGGGGAGGTAGTAGATTACAATTTTTTTCAGATATGAACAATCCCGAGTCGGGAATAAAATAACAGAATTTTTCTCATTTTATTTTTTTTCTAAAATTGTCAAATTCAGAGTCGGCGGGGCTCGTTATCCAACAATTTAAAAAATGCTGGCCTTAAGAACTGACCAGACATAACTCTCTAATAGGCCTAAAGTGTATTTCTGACCACTTGTCTCCAGGGTAAAATTTCAGCTTTTTGCCTGAAAAGGTATGGGGTGGCTCAGGGCGGCCTGGGACTCATGATGGCAATGATAAAGGAATGCATTTGTCACAGTTCATTTTACCTTGTGAGTAGACTTGATGACAAGTTGTTAAGATAGTCGTATTTTGTCCTTAAACTTTAGTCGAACTCCATCGCCGCGGCTGGTATAAGACTAGTACATAATCGGCCGGGTTGAGACATATCTAACGACTTGACGATTACGTTCTCGCACCGTTATTCATATATGCAAGCAGCGCAATGCATATGCAGTGCATGTTTGCGGCGATATCCAATGGCGCACCACTATGCAAATGAGGACTCATTCATTCCGTTACATGGGGAGTTCTCAATACGTCGGGGACATGTTTGCAGATCTGGTGACGTTTTAATGACCAAAACACTCAGCTTGGTCAATTGTGCATTGAAATAAAATGTGTCATTGTGATAAACTTGATTTATTTGAGTTTTGTATGCCCTATAGTGGTTTTTGTAATGTTACACAACACAAAGTAAAACCCTCGAAGTAATGCGAACAATCTTCCGTGGGGGCCTAGAATATGCTCTGGAATCTGAACCAATCAGAGTGCTCGCATAGAATTCGCTAGTGATTCAAAATACTCCCATGTGTTGTATACAAAATTGAAAACGTATTCGCCAAGTCGGTAATTGAACATCAATAGTCAGCATCATTTGGTCTGGGAACCAGACTACGCGCACTAATTGCAGCGATATTTTGTGTGCGTGGAGCCAGTAACCGGTACCGTATACGCAAAACATTACCGAGTTGGCACCAAATCTACCTTGTGAGTTGACTAGGGACTGGAGGACTTGTGATGACTTGTGATGACTTGAATGCAACTGGGGGTTTGAAGGGGGGGGGAGAGGTCCAGGAATCAAAGAGTAAAGAAATCAATCGCCTTTTGCACTTTGCAATTCTGACAGGTGCATGTATCAAACAAGTCTCCTAAGGAATATTTCTAGTCCCCTCCGCCTGGGATAATTTATCCCCAATGCTGTCATTTTCTTCTCCCAGAGTATTTGCAAATTGACCACATCAATCTCTGCAGCCATTAAAACATAGGAAATTCCCATCATCACGGATGACTACGCTGTGTGCCACACGCACCTATAGTCATCATTCAATTTCTCATTCTCAAGACTGCTTTTAAGTCCAATATTAACTGCGACTTCCGCAGGTTTTTTTTTTCTTCTTTCTAATTTTCCAGGCCACGAGAAAGTTGGCGCTGTTTTTTTACGGACTGTGATGATCTCTGCTCTTCTTCTTTGTTTGCATCTCACCGGTATGACAGTTGATCCAGAATATTACTTTTAGCTCTTTCTTCTTCGATAATTGACGATGTAGAGTTGATTTGTTCATTGCTTATTCACCAAATACAGTAAATCAAACTGTTGTTTTTTGCCCACTGCAAAATCGCGAGGCACTTTTTTTTTAAGTGAAATTTAATATTCTCTTCTTTTACATTTCAACATCTTTATTTTTTTTAATCTGCTGGAAAACCTACACGGATCAATTCATTGACTGGATTTTAGTTCCAAAATAATGCAGTACAAAGTTTCAGAGTTGTCGGGCAGTGTTTTCACATCTTGAATCTTCAAAACAAAAATATGTAAGGGAAAAAAACACCTCAGCCAACCCTCTTAAGGCCTGTTCACACAAGACAAATCTTGGGGTTGACGCAGGGTTGAAAACATGAGGTGTTTCACATTTGGAAATTTCAACCCTGCGCCAACCCTGAGATTGATCTCTCCCCAGGTTGAACCCAACCCTGCTCCAGACCAGGGTTGAGATTTTCACCCCGGGTTGAAACGCTCTCCAGGGTTCAAAACGGTAGTAACCGAGGCGTGGTTTGCACAAAACAAGTGTGAAACGATGCAGGGGTGAGCGCGGGGTTGAACAATCAAAAACTCAACCCGGGGCGGCACTGGGTTCACCCAGGGTTGAGTTCAACTCGGGTGGAGAGGCTCTAGTATGAAAAGGCCTTAGAAGAACCTGCATCCACCACTACCAAATGGGTTAGTTCACTTCACCTTTCATAAGCCTGTCTGAACTTTAAAATAGTGCTCATACATTTGTAGGATCACAGGTGCATACATGTATTACAATTGCTAATGTTTTGTACAGGGCAAGTTTTATACCAAGTTCTCCTTGCCCGCCAAAGTTGTTTCTTGTGCATATTGACTGAGCTCCTCGACAAATACGAAAGATCCCCGAAGAAGGCCACATATATGTGCCCATATTCATTACCCAATCCTGATTTTGTCCGTGTGGAATCGTTTTTGAGTTCCCATCTTATTCGACGGAATTCTCCGTGATTGATGATGTATATTTTTTTTGGACGGCCATCATCTCCAATCTTTTACGGGAGTGTGCACGTAATGAACTATGAAGAAATCAACCCCCCTAGGGGTAAGCGCAGTGGCTGATTACACACAGACGTGTCTTGTCAAAAGGAGGGGAAGTGCAAATCCCCCTCCCTTCCTCCCCCCCCCCCCTTAAAAAAAATGCTCTTATGCCAGAGATCCCATCAGAATGGCCCCTCAATCAATTGAATTAGACACAGCAGTTTTAACCTCTACAGAAAGACCGTCTCAAAATAGCTTTTTTTTCGGCAAGAACTCTCACTCGTAGATGTCATGTGAGGTCCCTTTCAATTCTGATTAAGTTTCCTATCTGGGTACTTTGTGCACTTCCTCACACTTTAAGTCCATTCTGACTGTCCTCCTTAGTGATTTTTTGATTAAGATTTTGTTGGAGCAATCTTCTTCTTTTTTATCATTTCCATTCAACTGGATAGTGGCAACGGGATCGGGCTTCGGAACAATTTGGAGGTTGGAATTTGTAGTGAAATTCTTCATGAAGTTGTTAGTTGATGCACTTTTGTGTACGGTCCAGTAAAACTGTAATCTTGTTTGTTTCTTGCTGTCATCATGGAAATAAAATTGACGTCATGATGACGTCATCATGTGAGTTTTTATTGATTTCTAAATTGTATTAATTTATAACACCACATTCACTTCTAGACAACCAAATATTTTCAGAACCATACACTTGTAGCCTACATGCCTGTACATCCGACTTTGATGATACCACTAAAACTATTGCCAAAACAGCTACGTGTTTGTCCACAAACACAATTCTAGTTTGTTTCTTGCAGTCATCACGTGGTCCCTTAAGCATAAAGTGAATCGGTGGCATATGTAGGATCATGCTGGGGGGATGGGGAGGGCAGTCCCCATCCGTGCTGGAGGGTAGCCAGGTTTCTTTCTCCGGTTGGGGGGGGGGGGGGGTGTTCACTGTCTGACAAGAGCATTACGATCTTGGACACTATCGAAGATCTCAACATCATCTTCACTACCAACCAATCCAGGCGTTAAAGAAACTCATTCAGATTCTCATTCTTCAGTCCACACCAATATGGAACAGGCTCCTGCTGGAAGCAGTAATAGCACCATCAGTTACAGCTTTTCAGGCAGTGGCCCTTCCGGCGGTGAGAAACATGCGTCCCCGCCACCACCACCCACCAGCAACTCTAAGAAGCGAGGATGTTTTTACTTGCACCTGTATCTACTGCACCTGCACAACTGCACAACTTCTGTATCATTCATTATCATCAGGCCTATAGACGGTAAAGCATCCCAGGGGAAACATCACACCAACTTAGAGAGAGAAGACAATGAGAAGAAATTACAGTTTTAGAGGTGGGAGGAAAAGCCCAGAAGATATTCTGGGGAAAACCCACGGAATCAGGTCGGTAGGGACTGAAAACCCAATCCACATATTGACCCAGGCGGGATTCGAACCCGGGTCACAGCGGTGGAAGGCGAGGAAAGTACTGCTACGCCAACCTGACTCCCCTTGAACCACCTTGACTATATACTCCTTGGACAAGCAGCACTGCTTTCCAGGAGTCTACACACCAAGCACTGAACAATAAATGGCACTCTTCATAGCAGAATATATGCCAGCAGACAAACATTGGAAAACACCAGTTGATTATGTCTTCTGAAGGGGGGGGGGGGGAGGGGTACGGCATCATGGCCCCCCTAAATATGCCACTGTCCAGAATTTATAGCAACAGTCTATTACATTAATACCTGAGACCTCTGATCTGTGGGTGCAGCTCAGCAACAGACTTATTTTCTTACAGTCTTAATTAGGGCTGTCCGTTTTCGAATAATTTAGTATTCGATTACTTTGAAACTGCGTTTGACCGGATATTCGAAACTGCCACCTGCAACTGCGAGCCATGCTGGTCAGAAGTTGTTGCATGCAGAGCGCGCCAGTTAAAATTTGCATGCGGCGATCGATATGGGCCACTGGAGTGTTTTGCAGTGATATTTTATAACTGTCAAAGGCTTTAAGTTTAACATGCTGAAAGGATGGGAACAATAAACCACCGTGATTGATGATTTATTTTTTTTTGACGGCCATATCATCTCCAATCTTTTACGGGAGTGTGCACGTAATGAACTATGAAGAAATCAACCCCCTAGGGGTAAGCACAGTGGCTGATTACACACAGACGTGTCTTGTCAAAAGGAGGGGAAGTGCAAATACCCCTCCCCCTCCCCCCCCCCCCCCCCCCCCCCCACCTGCCAAAAAAAATGCTCTTATGCCAGAGACTCCATCAGAATGGCCCCTCTGTTAATTGAACCAGACACACCAATTTTAACCTCATCAACAAAAATATGGCACCTGGCAATAAAGTGCTGAACTTGACGATAAAATAACATCACAGTTTTGTGTGTACGGTTTTTGGGTTTTTTTTTTGTTTTTTCCTCGAATATTCCAACTGGCACCAACTTAATCCATGTATGATGTACTTTTATGCGTCTGTGGTAACTTTTTAGAATTTATTTGTCCACTTAAAGAGAATAGACAACATTTGCAAACATCAAAAAACCAAAACTACCAAATTATTATGAAATACCTTACTGGACTGTTAGTGAACGATAGTCTAAAGCATCCTGTAAAATCATGGCACCTGGTGTGCTGTCATTTTCAAGAAAAGTGGTATTTTTGTATCAATTCCCAACGCTGGTCAGCCAACCAGCTTTGGATAAAAATAGCTTTTTTCAAATACTGCCCCTAATTTACCGCATTTTGTTTGCAGTTGATTACACACCTCCAGGTACAAGCCAGCTAGACTGGTTCCCTGACCTTACAATTCCCCGATGTCTATATATTGCTCTGTTTCATCTAAATTGGGGCCAGGGAACCAGACTACAGGAACATGATTGTTTTTCTTGGTTTTTCCAGCATCTGTGAAAACTTCACAAAACTTCAACAAGTCAGTGTGACAATATTTGCTATAAAATACTAACCCCCGGATCCATCCATTTCTGAAAATGACAGCAAAAGTAAATGTTGTATATTCCCTTTAATACTGACCCAACAAACTCGTCGGTAAACGTTTTACTTGTTTTGGGGTCCTCCCTGAGCATTGCTTCTTTTTCCTAAGTCTCATTTCTTTTTCAAAAGAAGGAACAAAATTTTCAATATTACAAACCGACTTTGAACATCCACAGACAGTAAGGATCACAATTTGTCAAAAGAGAAATGTTTTCAAACAAATGATATAGAATAACCTTGTTTCCACCAAAACATTTGCATCTCGGGTGTCTGGTTTCATCCGAGAGGGTACTAAGCTTTCGCGTGGTTGCTATTTTAGGCGAGAGAGCCACGTCGAAGACACTTCAACGAAAACGTAGACGGCCGTCATGAATTGAAACAGAACCCCAAAGAGTTGGAGCAAACAGGCCGGCGGCGGCAAAAAATATGGTCACAATTTTTTTTTCCTGTGATCCTGCGGCCGTCGGCATGGCTAGGCGTTAATTGTCCTCGTGGCTTGAGTTTGTCGTGGCTGCATCACTTGAGCCGAGTGCCTCAAGTCCCCTCCACATATCGCCGCAGCTTCATGAATTTTCATAATCGGTTTTCCGAGATATAAAGGTAGTCACTGATCCAAACGGTTCTGACAAACGTTCCTCTTGCCGCCAGACACAAGACAAGAAAAAGAATTCAAGGGAGAACAAAATTGAGAGGTGGTAGTTTGGTTTTTTTTTCTCCCCGAGGGTAGGGAGTCAGAGGATCGGGGAAAATATTGGAAATTTGAGATTTTTGTCCCTGCATGTGTGAAGTCGTGATTGGAGATCGGAGTCGACTGGGGAGGGACGGAGGGGAATAAAAAGAGCGGCGTTATTGAGGAATTGCAAAGATTGAATCGAGTTAGGACAGGGCAGAGGAAAGATGAGATAGACGGAAAGAAAAACAAACCTTGGCGAAGCCGCGGCTCCAACAGAATTACACGTGTTACATCTCTGAGTTTGTTATGTTGTGTCATATGAAATTGGGCAAACTGTGACATGAGTGGGTGTTCAAGTGAAGTGATATTATCAAGCAAGCCAAGTCTTTCAGGGTTTGTGTTTCACATGTTTGTTTTTCTTGTCTTGATTGGTCAATTTTCCTGTTTGTTTAATTTTCCTGTTTGAAGAGAGGGTTGCGGGTAAAATATTGTAACAGAGGTAGATTTCTATCTCTAAAAAGTCGCTCTTTAGAGAGTTTTTAATTTTGTCTTGTCTTGCAAAGTTGTCCTGTGAAGACAGTCTTTTTGTTTTAGGGAGAAATTTACACTATTTTTTTCTCAAAATATAAGCGTCTTAAAAAATACTTCCCAAGTCTTTAACCTGTCTAATGCCACTTCCAAAACATTAAAAAGTTTCAATTTACATTTCTGTTTTGAAAGCCATTTGTTGTTTTTATCCTTCCTGGACTAAAGAATTTTAGCAGATGACATCGGTCAATAAATTTGTCAGCAACTGTTCCAGATGACTTCAATAAACTTTCCCTTGGCTAGACTATCCTAACCGGTTGAAATTGCTGGCCAACGAAAAACGATTACGTTTTTGTGAAGAGCAACGTTTAACTTGGAGTTGACAACAGAGGATTTTGTCTGTCTTCTTTTTTTTTTTCAATTTAGGATCTCATCATCACCTTCTTTTCTGTCTACACCTTGGAAGTTCTGCGTAATACGGAACGCGTCAGCAGCATTTTTGTAAGTTTTTTCTCCAGGTGACCCCAGATGAGGAGCAGACAGATCAATCTCAGATGCTTTAATTCCCAAAAGATGAGAAAAAGATCTGCCACCTTTGCTATTCTGGGTTTCATACCAATTAACATCTGTGTCTAATGTCGCATCACGAACGTGCCCTCGCATACCAAAAATGACAGCAACAGATTTGTATCTGTTGTGGAAGACAATGAAACAGCTCTTGTTTTCGTTAAGATTTTTTTCTTTTTTTTCCTTTGAAAAAAAATTCAAGTGACCTCAAATGATGTTATTACATGTCATGTGACGTCACATTAAAGGGGCGTTTTTTGATGAAAGGCTATATATCTTTAAAATTATATGTTGGATTTGGTTGAAACTTGATATGCACTTATACTGTGATGTGTTATAGATGAAATTTGTTGAAGTGACGTCATGTACGTCACAGAGTCATTTCAAACATCCTAAACAGCTGGTGTTTGTCCACAAACGCATTCTCTAGTTTTTAATTCAGCTGCTGGTTTTGCCGCTATTAACCCGGTCGGCTCCGTTTTCTTTCCAACCTCTTTGAGGTCCAACATAAATCGTGATTGCCTGCGCCATCATCAGACATTGGTCCCATAACTCCCGGGTCGGTTTCATAACTCGGCAATTAACGCGGAAGTCCTGTGTAACCGCAGATTCAGCTTAAACCAACACCACCCAACGAGCGGCTCCCGAGAAAATGTCATTTGAGACCTCCGAGAAATTCTGACGCGAAATAAATTTTAGAAAAAAAGGAACGAATATCTTCTGTCTTAGACGGAGAAAAAAAAACCTAGTCAATTAGTCTTTTGGACGTGGCACAGTTTTCAGGTTGGTATTCCGTCGGTCGTCTACTTCGGTTGTCACGGTAGCCAGCCGCGTGTAATCCATCTGCTTTTTGGCGGATCAGCGTTCCGAGAGGCAGATGCTTTTTGTGGTACGTCAGCACTCAGCGGGATGGCTTTTGTTTCAATGCATTTTGTCGTGGGGCACTAATTGGCTGGCCGGCAGGTAGTATGTTATGCAGATTCAGAGTGTGTGTATGATGGAGCACTTCCAACACCTACTTTATGAAGAAAACAATCAGACAGGGGGCTAAGAAAACAGTGCAAAATGAGTTTTTTGTTTTATCAGGACATGATTCTCAGAAAACTCTTTTGGAAGTGTTTAAAAATTCCTGGCAAATATGTGGACAATGTTGGGTATTTTTGTCAGTGAAGGAAATGAGAATTGGAGGTACTTGTTGGGAAATTCGACCAAAAGATTGGAAATGACGTCATCTTAACTAGCACAAAATCCCTGGAAACTTCCAAAAACAATTTAGATAGAGATTTTGGAAGGATCTGCCCCCCCCCCCACCAGACCCCCATAGAACTTAACAGTACTATTGAGGTATCTCACATGATGTCACAGGTCACCTACATGCCCACCATATTGGACGTCTACGGTTGCAGACTAGTAAAGACACTGCCATATAGACCCCAGTGA